ATATATATATATATATATAGTATATACATAATATACATATATACTACTAGCTCAGTCCTGCAGCAGCGGATGAGATCAGCTGATGCAACAATGGCCGCCGCCGAGTGAAGAACTCAATAGTGTGACAGGAAAGTTCCCCGGTTGGAGCAAATGTCCAGCAAAACGAGCTAGTCCTCGACGGCTCATTTCGCGTAGGAAAAGAATGGCGGGATTGGAAGGCTACGGGGATGTGTACAGGGGTCGACCTGTCAGATCGTGGGAGGCGGGGCCGTCGCAAAGGTACCACGGTCGAGAGGTTATCCGTCCCCTGGACATACCCGTTATCCATCCTCTAGCGGAGGACAATCCACCGATTGGCAACGATGGTGAGTCGTGTCTCTTCGTTTTATTCCCTACTCGACGGAGGTTTCCGTGAGGACGTTGACACTCTGTCATCGGTCGTCGTCCCTTAAACTGAGACTTAAACCTATATAAGTTTGATACGACTAACTCTTACCTGACCACCCACTTCCAGACCTCACCGTGGGCAAGTACGTCGCAATGGGCTGCGGACTGGCGAGCCTGATCACGGGGAACCTGTTGACCCACCCGTTCGTGGTGTTACGGCGGCAGTGCCAGGTGAATCCGGGCGCAACCAAGTATCACCTGATGCCCGTAACTCTGGTACCCGTGATAATACGTTTGCACCAGACCCAGGGTATAAATACGCTGTGGAAGGGGATCGGCTCGGTCCTACTCGTGAGAGCGATGACGATGGCCGTCGAGGATCTGATTTCGAAAGTCACACCATGGCAAAAGTAAGGCGATCGTTAGACAGTACATAACGCACTTCGTAAATTATTCTGTGAAATTGCCCTTCTCCTTAAGACTAGACGCTTGATTTCAGGACTATCACTCACAGCTCGATGAAAGCATTCGGCCAGCATATTCTTCTCAAGTGGTATTTGTTACGTTTAATCTACATCAGCATATAGATAAATTACGAGAAGTCATTGATCGTGTAATCTTCATGCTTTGCAGCGTCTCCATAGGTATAGTGACTCCTTTCTATTCCGCGTCGCTCGTGGAGACCGTTCAGTCCGAGATTGCGTCCGAATGCCCCGGGATCTTGGACGTTTTCCGGGACGGCGCGATACGCCTGCTCGACGTATGCAACAAGGGTAGACTCATTCCGATTTACGCTCTCGTACCACCCACCATATTTTACGGAGTATCGAAATATCTCTTCACCATGGTTGTGAAGGGGGTTACCAGTCGGATTATGCACGTCAGGCATAAACACTCGCAGGAAGCAAGAGTACGTATCTGGTTCCGAATGTTGCGGAAGAGCGAAAGGATGCGCACAGATGCGTCTCTCTATACAGGATCGCTGTTCTATTTCAGGGCGCGTACAGTAAAGACCTGCTATCCGAGAGCGTTCTTCAGGACATAGAGACGCAGTCCATCCTCATCTCGGTGTGCGCGGCCGACATCGTGTTTTATCCCCTCGAAACTGTTATTCATCGGTTGCACCTTCAAGGCACGCGCACCATCATCGACAACCTGGACACCGGCAGGAGCGTCACGCCGTTGCTGACTGGATACAGCAGCGCGGCCGACTGTTACCGCACAATAATCTCCACCGAAGGGCCACTCGGTCTGTACAAAGGATTCGGTGCTCTTATCTTACAATTCGCGGTACATTTCATGGTGCTGCGCGCGACAAAGTGGCTTCTAACGGAACTGGGCGCGATGCTGATGCCGAGACCCAAGCCGATAAAGCCGCCAAAACCTTCGTACTACGACGAAATATAAAGGAGACCTTGTAACAAAGAATGTAAGATAATATGGAATTATTTATTATTTGTCTTCACTAACGATTGTATAAGATTGTAACAAAGATAGTTTCCAATCTTGCTCTTCGATGATTTTATGTCGTCGCGTGCGTTGATAGAAAAGTGGCACAAATAAAAAAAATTAGTATTTTTGAATTTTGTCACTTTTCTATCAGCGCAGCGATACGCCGCAGATTAGAGAACTTTTCTCGTTTTCCATGCAGTTAATGATAAAATTTTTCGTATCTGCGCGACTGTGATCACGCAAAATTTTCTATACTGTACGTTTTATAATCGACGCGAATATTAAGGTATTAGGAAAGGAAATAAGAGTTCTACATAAAATTAGAATGTTAGGGATGAAATTTGTGAAATATCGCCAATATCTGTAGATATTCTCATAATCATTTTTCACTGAGTACTTTCTACACCCGATGAAATAATTATAATTATGTGATGTGATTTACGTGACTTTATATTAGATTATTATGTCGATATACACGTCATAGATTGTTTATGAGGTAAATAAATTAAAATATATACTACATACATATTACAGATTTATTACAAACACAAATTACTCTTTATCAAACGTTACAGGTAACTATAGAATTAGAAAATTTCTATGCAAGTGTTTTCATTTTGCGTTATATTTTGCATAGCTATAGGTTTCTCTCTCTCTTTGCGTAATTTTAATTTTTTAATTATTTATTAATCGTGTACACCTGCTGAATCGTCATTACTGCTTTTCGTTGTTTCGTTTCATGTAGTGTGGCTTTTCAATGCCTTTTACGCATTGTTCTGTAATGTGGACGGACACTATATCGCTCCCCGGTACTTCGAACATAGTCTCCAAAAGCAGCGATTCCATTATAGCTCGCAAACCCCGCGCTCCCGTTTTCCTTTCCACTGCCAAAGAGGCAATAGCATCCAATGCTTGTGTGTCGAATGTTAGATCCACCTGCATAAATCCAATACAATTGATTAGAATTTAATTTTAATTTGCTATTGAAAACTATTGCGATTTTAAAAAAAATTACAGATTCATCTTTATCAATCGGACATTACTACAAAAATGAAATTATTAAGCTCTACCTTGTCCATCGAGAATAACAACTGATACTGAGGAACGATGGCATTTTTCGTCTCGGTAAGAACTCGCACCAGCGCGTCCTTGTCGAGGGAGTGAAAAGGCACGAGCACAGGGAATCTATCAATGAATTCAGGTATCATGCCAAACTTGATGAGATCTCCAACTTCCACTTGTTGTAACATATCCTCGTTATTATCCTTCTCTGAAAGTGACATATTGGTGACGTCGGCCGCTACCCTGTCCGGGTCCTCGATCGTAGACGTCGCATCAGATCCGAGATGTTTTTCTGATCTGCGTCCCGCTATCATCCTGTCCAAACCGCTAAAAGCGCCCGATCCAATGAAAAGAATATTCGTGGTGTCCATTGGCAACGTCTCCCCATGATCCCCACGCAAGTAAATTTTCTTCGGAACGTCCACAATTGTTCCATCCAATATCTTCAGCATGCCTTGCTGCACACCTTTCCCAGACACGTCACGCCAATATCCAATGGTAGCAGCTATCTTGTCGATCTCGTCCAAGAAGACGATGCCTATCTGAGCACGATCTATTACATAGTTAGCATTCCGAAGGAGTTTAGTTAGGACAGTCTCGACGTCCTCGCCAATGTAACCGGCTTCCGTGAGACTGGTGCAATCACAGACGGCAAACGGGACATCCAGGTATTCCGCTAACGTTTGCCCTAGTAACGTTTTGCCAGAGCCCGTAGGACCGAGTAAGAGTACGTTGGTCTTTCCCACTTTCAGCTGATGTCGCTTGCTGTCTAATATATTAAT